TGAACGAACATTACATTACTAGTTTCTACGCCGTTCTATAATTAGTTAATTGCCATGCGCATGCAGTAAGTGCGTGACGTAAGGAAAACCCCGAGCCTGATTGGTCGCTATTTATATAAATACTTAAAATAGTAACACCCTAATTTTATGCAAGGAATGCCCTCATGAATTATCAATCTTTACGATTAGTTTTCGTATCAAATAAGCGATATTTGGACAAGTAAATGTAAGTCGACAATTCTTGCTTCTTCAACTGAGATCATGCAAGTTGACAATTCTGGCTTACATGCGGTAATCGATAAAGCATTCAATTTTCGCTAAGAACTATCGTAGAATGATAATAGTCGGCAAAAGTTGTTTGCTAAAAGATTAACTCAAAGAAACATTAACATATACAACAGAAAAAGTTTTTTTTAATTTAGTACATTTTACGGATCTGTAATTGCTTTAAATTATAGCTAAAAGTACCGGTTTTCCAGGTCTGTACCGCGGTACGTACGGCAGATGTCTCGGACCGTGGTTTACCGGTATACTGGTTAAACCGCGCACCTCTACATTTTAACTGTAACACATACCATTTTTACTGTATAACATACCATTTTGACTATAACATACCATTTTGACAGTATAACATACCATTTTGACTGTTTAACATACCATTTTGACTGTATAGCATACCATTTTGACTGTATAGCATACCATTTTGACAGTATAGCATACTATTTTGACTGTATAGTAAAATAAAATACCACGGTGAATCGAGTCCCTTTAATAAAATGTAAAACAGCTCCTTGAAAATTTAAAAATATGGTTAATTATAAACGCTTGTCGTATTTTATTATTATCTTAAATGACTTTCGGACTATATAGATTTACTTTCAGTCTGACTGAATGATTTATTTTACATTTTCATGAATGAAATTTCCGATTTTATTGAACATGCTTACTTGAGGCAATTGAGATGCTTATGAACGAGCAATTAAATTTTATAATATTCAGGTTGTGGTTAATCAGCCGACAAAACGGAACATTTTTAAGGCCACGAAATCGTGAATCTGTTTCTTGGTGTCTGACACCACCAGCAGCATGCCTCCAGATTCATGCTAATTTTCATGAAAAATTTCATAATGTATTAAAAAGTAAAATATTGTGACGTGAACAAAGAAAAAAATTTTTACATTGCAAACAGCCCTTACAACCTGTGTAGTTTACCAAAAAGTGGTCAAAATATGCAAAAATAGCTCTGACTGCGTTAGTAACGCAGTAGAAAATTAATATGGTAAAAAATATTGTAAAGCAGGTGAAAAAAACACAAATAATATGGAAATTATTACTTTTATCTTGATTTTCTTTTTACTTTTCTTAGGATCTCAGTACTTTTTCTCATGTTGGATATATTATCTTGAAATATTTTGGTTCATCTTCATGTTTTTTGGAAGGCGATATTTTGTCTCCAATTCAGTACTTTCGAGTACTTTGATCATAAATGTAGATAGTGACACCAGAAAATTCCAAGAGTTTTTGTAGGCTGAGCCTTTATTTTGTAAAAAATGGAGGATAGTCAAAAAATGAAGAAATTCTTGAGGAAACACTAGTGAGATCCTGAAAGTGATTCAGCCTGTCTACTGATGAAAATATGTTTTCGTCTTTTCCCTGTTCAAATATTTTAATGGAGTTTCAGTGAATCATTGGGTCTCAAGTGGTTTGTGAGGTATTCGAGAAATTTTCATTATAAGATGTTCCAGACAAGCTTTCAAAAATAAAAGGAAAAGAAGAAAAAAAAAAAGAAATGGAAAATGAAAGAAAAATTACCCAACAGGAATATAAAACATTTTGATGTGTCTCAAATTTTGAAGAAGAAAAAAATAACCTCTTAATTAATGGCAAGGAAATTTATTTTGTTTAAAATTCAGTTTCTGATATCCAGGTAATATGCAATGTAGTATAATAAAACTCATATATTTGTACCCTTTTAGTTATTTGCAACTTTTAATAAATAGTATTTGGGACAGACTTTTGTTTCGATATTTTTTGTGATTAAAATTCACCCTTAAGTTCATGAATGGACTTGTCCAGCCTCCATTTTTGGAACAGTTCATTATGAAATTCAGGGATGTCAATATAATCAGCAGACTTTATAACACCTGGTCAGACAGCATGGATAATGATATCCTGTGCTATAAAGTCTGCAGATAATATCTTGACATCCCGAAAAATGTGACCAGTACCAACAAAGATTGCTACACACATCCAGCGCCATCATGGTCTGCTGTTGTTGGCTATTGAGTCAATGTATGTTGTGAAATTTCCCCTATAAATGATGAACAGAACTTGGTCCAGATTGAAAAATGGACAAGTTAATTTATGATATTTATAGCAATTAAAACAGCATTCATCCAGATTCATTTTTCATGAACATTTTGAAAATGTTTAAGTGAAATATATTTTGAAGTCAACAAATAAAGTAAGTTACACATTGTAAACAACACTTACAGTTCAAGTAACTTACCAAAAAGAGGTCAAAATATGCAAAAATTGCCCTTACTTAATTATATGTTAGTTACTCTGATTAAAACTGCAGAATTCGACATTCAATAATCGCAAATAACATGTAAATTTTTACTTTTCTTAAAAATTTGTTTTATATTTATCTCAAGTTCGATTTTCTTGAAATATTTTGGCTGATCTGGAGGCATGCAGCTTTAAGGGTTAAAGAATGATATAGAAAATATATATGAGCTGCATCACGACAAAACCAAGGCAGTGCATTTGCGACCAGAATGGATCCAGACCAGTCTGCGCATCCGCGCAGTCTGATCTGGATCCATGCTGTTCGCTTACCAACCATTTTACAAGTAGAGAAACTGATAGAGAACAGCATGGATCCTAATCAGACTGCCGGGATGAGCAGGCTGGTCTGGATCCATGCTGGTCGCAAACGCACTATGTTCGTTTTGTCGTAACGCAGCTCAATTATATTATAATGATATAGGTTTTGAGAAGCTTGAATATGCACATTAGAGGTATGTGAAAACAACTGAATTTATAATGTATGGAAATGATATGACCTGCAGGTTGAATTGTGTTGTAACAATTTGATCAAAATGTAGGTTAAGATTTAATGTCTTGTGAAAGATATATATGTTTGTGAAATTTGGCAGAGTTTGAAATATGCAGGTATCGATCATCCATCAGCCCAAACACTTGCCCATGATGAAATGTATAGCTGCTACAGAATAATATATATCAGTAGCTTTAACATAAGTTTAAACTAGGGCGACAATAAGTTATTAATCTTGTACCATTAATTGTAACCATTTATAAAGGCTACTTAAAGTTTCAGTTTTACCTGATGTGATGTGATGTACTGTTAGGATACCATAAGGTTCTTTAAGACTTGTCCTTCCATGAATTTTCAATTGCCTAACCTTTTACCTACTGAATTTATATAAAAGATTTATGCAACTTTGAATTTGGAAAAGCCTATTCAAAGTTTTATTGTTTAAAGGGACTGTTCTGTGGTTTTTTGACATGAAGGGAATGGAAATATTTTTTTCGATATTTGTGTACTATTTGATATAGGTTTTGGACCTTTCTGTTTTAAGTGTCTAGTTAATCTATGTAAAAAATTCAGGTTTATATTTTTTTTTAGGCTTTTGGACCTCAGTGCAGTTCCTTTAATGTTATGATATATGTATTCTAGTGCAGTTCCTTTTCATGTCATGATATATGTATTCTAGTGCAGTTTCTTTAATATAATGATATATGTGTTCTAAATGTTATAGAGTATGAGTTTTTGAGCAGTTCCTTTAACGTCATAATATTTATGTTCTAGTGCAGTTCCTTTAATGTCATAAAATATGTGCTTAAATGTCATAATATATATGTTCTAGTGCATTTTCTTTAATGTTATGATATATATGTTCAAGTGCAGTTCCTTTAATGTTATGCAGGGTTCGAATTTAAGCTGGCATACTGGCAAAATGCCAGTTAAAATCTTATAATGCCAGTAAAAATTACTCTAGCTGGCATTACTTTGCAAGTGACTGTTCATTTTGGACGTTTACAAAATTGTTATCTTTTGAGCTGATGATGATGCTTGGCAACTGTCCACTGCAGAAACTGATGATGTTTACCTTGGAAACTTAAAAATCAATTTTTAGTTGCTCTATTTATTTTTACTGTGACAACGATATATTTATTTAAGTAGATCAGTACCTCTAGTTTTCAGACTGTTGGTGTAATCAAGCACAAAATATGCTAAAACTAATGAAGGTCCTAAGAAAATGTGTTGTGAAAAAGTGTTGAAATGTTTTTGTATCGTTACAAGAAGAGATCTGTGTTTACTAGTGATAAAGATGTTTCTGACATTCAATAGACAGTCAAGCTTATTACCAGATGTTCAAAATGCATTGTCATTGTGTATTATAATAATAATTATGATAAGATACATGATCATTGAAATGCCAGTTGACTGCCTCATATTGCCAGTTAAACATTTGATCACTTGCAAAAATCTGCAAGTAGAAAATATTGCTAAATTCTAACCCTGGTTATGATATATATGTTCTAGTGCAGTTCCTTTAGTGTCATAATATATGTGTTTTAGTGCAGTTCCTTAAATGTCATGATATATTAGTTCTAGTGCAGTTCCTTTAATGCTTTGATATATATGTTCTAGTGCAGTTTCTTTAGTGTCATAATATATGTGTTCTAGTGCAGTTCCTTTAATGCTATGATATATATGTTCTAGTGCAGTTTCTTTAGTGTCATAATATATGTGTTCTAGTGTGGTTCCTTTAATGTCATGATATATATGTTCTAGTGCAGTTCCTTTAATATTATGATATATGTGTTATAAATGTTATAGTGTATGAGCTCGTGTGCAGTTCCTTTAATGTTAAAATATATGTGTTCTAGTGCAGTTCCTTTAATGTTGTGATATATGTGTTCTAGTGCAGTTCCTTTAATGATATAATATATATGTGTTCTATTTTCAGAAGTTGCCTCTATGAAGGCTGACAAGATGGAAGTAGATTATTATGAAATCCTGGAAATCAGTCGGGAATCCAGTGAGACAGATATCAAAAAGGCGTAAGTTTCTATTTTTAGCAACCTTGCAATGATTTCTTGTTGCGTTTTAAAGCAAATAAACGCACTGTTTAGGTCATATGGCATTTTTAGCACCCATGCAATGATTTCTTTTTGTGTTTTAAAGCACATAAACACACTGTTTAAGTAACACACTGTTTAAGTAACACACTGTTTATTAAAGTAACACACTGTTTAAGTCATAATTATAGCAAGTTTTCAGCTGTTCCGGTGGAGGGCGACCCTAGGTGCCGGGTTCTGTGTATTATTTTAGGCATGAGTGGGCACCTGAGTAAAACCTTTGACCTTCAGTAAGATTGCTGGATAGCTACCTCACATAAAAGAATCTTAAGTCCCTGACGGAACTTGAATCCACCTCTTGTAATAAAATTAAGGTGTTTTATTTTCAGATAGTTCCCAATTTTTACAATATTTACCTACCTCCCTTGCCTAACTGCCTCCGTGGTCGAGGGGTTAGAGTCGATGACTTTTAATCCAGTTACATCTCTGGTGTGGGTTCGATCCCCGGGAAATGCTTTGGTAGTTTAGCACGAAGGAAGATAGTCTAGTACTGGTGTAACTCTCCAGGAACGATGGTTAGGAAACTACCCGGCTATATGACTGAAATACTGTTGGGAAAGGGCGTAAAATGAAACAAACAAATAAACAAACAAACAAACCTACCTTGCCAAAAGTGGCAGACATTTTGGAGGTTAAAATTCTATCTAATATAATTGACAAAATATGAACAAATCAACAGCTGATTAAGGTGTATAATCATTAAGTTCTTTTATACATTTGAAGGAATATAATTATATAATAAACAAACATATTTACAAACCTGGAGTAAATCAGAAATATTAAATTGATTACAATTACTTATAAGTTTTCTTATATTTCTTTTAATTCCATCCAGTATAATTATTTTACTCATTGACATTTCATATTGGCTGAAAAAAGAGACAAATGTTTGTCTGCCATTTTGATGATATAGTAATCTTTTGTAATTAATGTCAAGGTTACATTTTAATACTTACAAAGGCTTCTTTAAGATATAAATTGGATTAAATGTTAAGTGGCATTTAAGGTTATCAAATAAGTATTTTCAGTTATTGTGGAGGCAATTTTATAAATTCAATTCTGTATAATTTTTTTTGTAAATTGTAGCAAACAATAATAGTAACTTGTGGTGTTTATAAGCTAAGGTCTTAATTATCTGTTTTTATGCCCACTCAGAGGTAACTTCTGTAATGTCATGTAATGATGCATGTCTGTCCGTCCCTCTGTTGTAAAAGTACTAGAGACACAGATACTTGTAGATGCGGTTTCAGATAGATTTGGGCGTATTTTGTGCTCATCCAAGGCTCGCGCTGGCAGGAGCCAATGAGCAAAGTGGCTCCGAAATAATTAAATTGGCTCAAGGAAATAACAATCTGCTCAAACTTATAAAAAGTATGATTTTCCGAATCTCCAGTCCAGTCTAATTTTAGAAACCGCTATTTTGAGAATGGGAAAATACGGTTTTGGTTGTCTAACTACGACTCTTGTTCAAGGTAGAGTGAACCTGTGAACGAGGGCCACCTATTTTAAAGGGTGAAACATGGCATGATCTTTATAGATAGGTGGTCTTTATTTGGAGGTTTTTTTTATTGATTAATATTCCATTTTATAAATAAAGGGTTATCAAAAAGTTGCCTTTATATGCAGAGTTATCTTTATTTAGAGATGGTCTTTAACAAGGGTTTTACTGTATCATGTCTTTGGGAATAACAAATTCCGATATGATGATTTTTTTTTTCGCTGAAAATATAAAGAAAGGAAATACATATTACACATAATTATGTTTCACAGGATTTCCTAATAAAAAATTCTCTGAAAAAATCGCAGGTCATGATTATGTTTAGTACAATGTATTTGTATGTATATATAACATTCTTGATTGAAACAGACAAACCCTCTGAGGAAAAAAATGATTCATAGTTCCTCGACAAATGATTGTTAATGTATTACTCAGTTATGATCACCAGCAATAGACTTTATGACCTATTTGTTTCTTTTTGCTATAAAATCAAACTGACTGTCGTTCCTGCTTAATACAACACTATACGATAACCTCTGCACAGCAACTCTTTTTGGGAGAGCAACTGGTTTGGGTTGTTGCTTGAAGGTGTTGCTGTACAGAAGTGCAAAATATAGTGGGAAATCTTTACTTTGAGAAGATATAATATAATGTTGTGCTCAAGGATCATATTTCTCACTGAAGATATGATTGCAAATTTGATCAATAATTGCTTGAAGATGTTCTGATTAAAATATTTGGACAACCAGTTTTTACTTCTGACAACCAGATATTCTTGAATTGGTTGCCCGAATGACAACAATTTATAAACCCAAATTTCACAGACTGTTTAATGAAGGGTTTGCTGCTGAATTAGTTCTTAAATTACCTGCTGGACCGAATAAGCCTTTGCCACCAGTATAGAGCCAGGCCAGCCTGCTAATCCTGGTTTTCTTACTTCTATACTGTTGGTAGCTTAATTTTTGTATTTTTGAAATCCCTTAAAGTGTATAAGGTTTTATTTTTTGCTGAAAAAGTATTGTTTGAATTTTAGAAAGAGAATACTTTCAAAATACCTGTGTATGATATAGATATATGCTTGATATTTAAATTCTGGATTATTTCCTAAAGAGAAAATGATGCATGCCCAGAATCATCAATAAAGGTATAATCACTACTAAAGATTATAGCAGCATAATATTTTGTTTACGAATATTTTATTCTGTTTACGTGCAATTTTCATGTTTGTTAAATAGTCCAGACATTCTTTGTGACAGCTATTTCAAGAATCGGTCATAAAAAATATGGAAGAAACATAATATAAATTGAAATGTTTACAGATTTTATGAAAATGTTTTATTAAGATATAGCTATATGCTCTTTAAACTGTAATGGATTTTCCAAAGATAGACAAATGAATTTTCCACAATCAAAGATGGACAAATGAATTTTCCACAATCAAAGATGGACAAATGAATTTTCCACAATCAAAGATGGACAAATGGATTTTCCAAAATTCAAAGATGAACAAATGAATTTTCCACAATCAAAGATGGACAAATGAATTTTCCAAAATCAAAGATGGACAAATGAATTTTCCAAAATTCAAAGATGGACAAATGAATTTTCCACAATCAAAGATGGACAAATGAATTTTCTACAATCAAAGATGGACAAATGTTTTTCACAAATTAAACAGGTTTATTAGGGTTAGTCATGAAATTATATCATGTTATAAACATACAAAGATATTGAAAAAAAAAAATCGGCACAGAATGAAGAAATATAATGGGAGAGAATGATGATGATATATATACATGGCGAGTCTTCATGAATCTTGTAGTTGTGGAGATAATTGAGTAAATGGAACAATTTTGTGTTAATTAGCAGGTAGGTATTGATGCAATTATCTGATATTTGTTGTATTGTTCAGACTCTCTCATATATACCTATATTTTTATTATCTCTACATAATCCACTTTGAGGGTATAATAGGTTAGCTCCCCTTTCTTATGGCTAGTAAAGCAGTTGTCTCCCTGGATTTTTAAAACAATCATGCAGTTTTGTGTAGTAATTTGTGTCTGTGTAGATTATCTCCCTTGTCATATCACTAGATGTGTGTAAATGAGTTTATTTATACTCGCCACCAGTTGCCCATATGGGGCGAGTCCTCCAGAAGAGTTTTAGTCATTTTAGGTTTTGGAGGATAGTGCAAGATACAGATATAGAAAGATGCCCCAATTCCAGAAGCTTCTCCTGGTTTCTTTCATATGCCAAGTGTTTTAGCACAATCATATATATGGAACTCGATTTCAAGTCTCATCCAAAAGACTGTTTTAGTAATTTTAGTTGGCCAGCCCAGGAATCGATCCCTCAGTGTAGAGATTACAAGTCTGACACTCTAACCAGCTATGCGGGCTGGCTCACTAGATGTCTTTCACAATGTAGTTTTATCACTTTTGCTTTTCAGTGAAGCATGAATTGGGTTTCAGGCCAGGTTTAAACATATGCAAGTATTGTTGCTATAGATTATCTCCCTTGTAAAAATATAAGACTTATACTACTGTGTTTTTTTTCTTCACATGCATTTAGTGTAACATACTGTATTGTTTACCTTGATAGTAAACAATATTTAACATGTGCTGTTCCAAGTTATATTTTGTTTTATGTTAGAAGTAGGTTATCTCCCCTTGAACATGTGTTTATAATAAGACATTTAATGATTACCTACCCTGAAAATGCTGTTTTGGTTTAATTGATTTAAACATGCATGTATTTATATTTAAGCTCGATTGCGAAACATTAGTTCTTGCAACTGATATTAATCACTAATCACTTTCGAGAACCAACCAGTACTGGCTTCATATTAAGAAACATGGCCGTGACCTGATTTGGGCTCGAACCCATGATCCCTGGGTTGAGAGGCAGACACCATAACCACTGGGCCACCACTCCCCTTATGCTGTTTTAATGATGAATAAAAGTAGCAAAACTCTATATAACTATGATAATTCTAGTATAATTCTAGTATAGTTATATTCTTACACTGTCACTTAATTTAGAATTTCAAATTAATACACAATAATTATAAAAGGAAATATTGACAGGGTTTTACTGAGGCAACAGATAGCAAAGATTTAAACAACCGGTTTTGCCAAGGGTCAAAGGTGATATTTTAATCTACAGGCTCAATAAACAACTGATTTTAATAGCATTTTAACCGATGATATTGATTGTCAATCTGATGAAAATGAAAACCCTGAAAGAATGGTGATAAATGAAACATTATGAACAGAGATGCAAAAAAAAGCCTTTATTCTAATCCATTTAATTCTAATTGAAATGCTCTTAAAATGGTGAAAATTTTTTTAAAGTTCTATTTCATATTATATCCTCTTTCTATTACATCTCTTAAAGTAGTAAGATAACAGATTGGCCCAGGCAT